GGCTGGTGGAGTGCTGGAACAACTCGTTGTTTTCAGTGGAGTGGACGAGCGAGTGCGGAGAGGAAGGTCCCAATGGCGGAATGGTGGGAATTGAAACTTCAATCTTTCGTCGTCATGAGTGCACTGGTCAAGCGTTGTGGAAGTCTGTCGGATTTGTGAGGCCTTGCCCTGCCGCTTACATCGTCAACGTGGAAGAACTGCTAGTGGAGTCCTGGTGGGATTTCGGATGCCCACACTCCTTTTGCTTGGTGGATTCTTTCATGGACAGTGTTTTTCGTGACGTGAAATTTTGAATTTTTTTTCCTTCCTGTTCATTTTCAGTCGTTGGCACTGTAGCTGTCAGGTTGTTGTTACAGTACAGCAGTCGTCCGTTCTGCTCCATTGTTTCATCTGTTTTGCCAGTTCTGCTAGCTGATTCTATTTATTTGCCACTGCCCCTCATAGTGCTCATGCTTGGGTGGAGGGCGGCGTGACCCGTTTAGGGTAGCTGTATCATAGTAGTAGTAGTAGTGTGTGTGTGTGTGTGCGTGCGTGTGTGTGCATGTGTGTGCGTGTGTGTGCGTGTGTGTTGAATGGTGTAATCCCAGCACAAGTTGCTATGTCTAACATAGCTGTTCGCTATCATCGCTTCCGCGATGGGCATGTCTGAGGTGTGTGTGTGTGTGTGTTGTGTGTGTGTGTGTGTGTGTGTGTGTGTGTGTGTGTGTGTGTGTGTGTGTGTGTGTGTGTGTGTGTGTCAGGGTTCGCAGCGAAGTTTGGAAGTCTGGGAAAAAGTTTGCATTTTATAATTTTCCAGGTCTGGAAAAAGTTTTGAAAAGGCTCTCCTTTTGAAAAAGTTTGGAAAAAGTTTGGAATTTCGATATTTTGGCCGCAGATGTGCTGCACTCCTGCAGTGCAAGTGGCCGTTTTGAGTGCCGCGATAGAAGACGCGCTGGCTGGCGATCGATCCGTGGTGTTCACTGCATGTACGAGTCTCGTACAGTCATTTCAGTGCAGCTCAATCGCGGCCGGTGATGACTCTTACTTGGCCGTTTTTCGTTACTGGCGCTCGCGCTCGACTTTGATAATAATCCTTATTTCAGGATTACCCGATTCTTTGAAGTCTGGACAGCAGGATGGAGAGGCCCTTTCGCACTCAGATGAGTTTGCTGGCGACGATGAAGCCGTCTTTTGCGCTGAGATGGACACCAGCTATGTAAATGTTTCATTAGAACCACCTCTGGAGGCGGATTTGAAATTACGGGGGGGGGGGAAATCTTGTCGTATGAATTCCCCTGCTATTTTCAGGGGCTCTAGCTGCTGAAGGCGATATCATTGCAATGCACCTTGGTGAATTTGTTGATGGTAGTAGTATCAGGGAGGATTTTACTACTCCCTGGTTGTACTCGTAGTGGAAAAGACAGTCATGCAGAAGAGATTTATAATTTATTTTTCCTGCACGAGTGGGTTTGGAAATTCTTGAAATTGGTTTGGAAAAAGTTTGGAAAAGGTTTGGAATTTTGTGTGCTTGGTTCGCTGCGAACCCTGGTGTGTGTGTGTGTACCTGTTAACCATGAACTGCTTCTGGCTAGATTAACTCTTGTGTAATCAATGGTGCTAGTGAAGCTTTTATCAGATCCACTCTGATTTAGCCACCCACACTAGTAGCAAGTATTACCTTCACTGGGGGAAGGGGTAACTGCAGTTGGATCCCGGGACGGATACCCTGATGCCGTCAATCCTTTTTCTGCACCTTGTCCTCACCCACTTACTGAGGTGTGGTGAGCCCATAAGTGGGATCATTTTCAAGTCCACTCAGAGTTTTGGGGATTTCAGGGGGTGTCGGCCGTTGGGCGGTTCAATGGCCAATTGAGTCATCTTTCCAAGATTCCTTTTGAGTCTCTCCCCTCTCCCGGGGAGACCCACGTGACCAGTTTTGGCAGTGAGCAACAAGTACAAGTGTGTGTGTGTGTGCGTTTGTTTGTTTGTGCTTTGTTTGTGTCGTCAGTGCTCGTTCAGTGAAGGTGGCATGGTACCCAAGAAGTTATTCGCTGATAGTCCCTTCAGTTTGGATTCACAGCAGAAATCTTGTGCGTTGGAAACCCTGTACACGACAGTGGATATTGGCTTTTCTAGGTCCCATGAGGTAAGACTCATTATACTTTGCAATCTGCACAGGGTTTTTTTTAAGCTCTATTCTTGCTTTATACCGTAAATATTACTGTAAATATAATCCCCCCCATCCCCCCCTCTCGTGGTGTGGAATACTATCCAGTTGTAATTCTTTCCAATAGAAATGGCGTTCATCAAGGATGACATTGCAGGAACCATAGACACCACACTTCACAAGACACAAACTTCATTTTAACACATCTACCGCTTGTAACGCCGACGTGCGGGCCTTTTTTGCCACCAGGCCCGAGGATTCCTGTCGCGGCATGACTTTTTCTTCGCTTTTCGATGCTTATCTCCGAGAATGATAATAGGCAGCATACTCAACTAGTTTCCATTTATGATCAGAACATCAAGCGGCTTCGAAAGAATTACTTTGGTGCCATCAGCCTTGACTTGGCACACATTCCACTTGCCACTTGCCACTGTCCAACAATAGCTACTATCCAGATGCATAGAATTGGGCATACTAGCAACATCAAGCATGAAGAAGCATGTACTGTGCCACTTTGAATTGTTCTATGGCAAAGTGCGTGGTTTTGCACCGGTATCGGAATGGAAGAAAATGGTGTGTGCAGCCACAATCTGTGCTGTTGCAGAGGAACATGCTGACCAACCCGCAGAATGACAAACATTCCTGGTATCCCGCGAACACACGGGGGTGGTATGCCATGGATGTAGCAGACAGGGGTGGTATGGCCATGGATGTAGCAGACAGTTTTTGACAGTTTTTACCAATTACACAGCTAGTGTATAGTCCAGTGTACATTTGATCTAGTGCAAGTGACTACTAATCGCCTATCCTCGTACACTACTTGCTAGAGTCTCTCCCTCCTAACCTAACCAGTCAGGTCGACCGTGCTAACTTCATACTGGTACATGTTGCTAATGGAATGTAAAGCTGAAACAAGCGCATGTGGTGCACAGTGCTAGCGATGCATCCTCCCATAGCATGGAAAACTGATGATCGGCCCTCTAGCCAACATGGGTGCCCGGGCCGTACCAACCCTCAGGAGTTGGCTCCAGGCGTGGTGTGCATCAGGTAGCTTTGTGAACAAGGTAATCATGCATCTGCCTGTAAAGTACAATGCGTTAAGGCCAGGGCAACAATTATTATGAAAAAAACTGCTCGTCCTTCTGTCCGTGTGTTCCGCACTTTGCCTTTGGCAAATTGAGCCCTCTACGGACGGTGGATGAACTTCACATGGGGTAATAATCACCGTAATAATATTTCACTTCAAAAACACTTGCACAATCAGGTACGAATAGTTTATACACTCTTGATTCTCATGTGTCTCATTATAATTTATAAATCATTGTTGATGTGTGTACGTGTGCATGTGTGCGATGTGCCTTTTGGAAGGTGTTGGTGGAAGCTGCATCTCAAAGTGTCATCATGTGGGACTTTGATGTAGTTCGTGGCTCAGTGACCTTTTCCATCCTGCACCTTTCTGACAAGCCGGTCAGCCAAACAACAACAACAACAACAACAGACCTGGTAAATATTTACACTACTGTGCATTATTCCCACTTTCTTATACCGTAAAAGCCCATAATATGGCCCTGGGCAGAAACGTTAGTGAAGGTCCAGAACACGGGCGTTGATTTGGGCCTCGGGCGTTATTCGGATCCGTGAAATCAGACTGATTTCAACTCCGCAAACTGTACTACGTACAGGGTTAGCACAGTGCACTGTACACTGTACACTGTGCTACCGAATCGTACATGCATGTGGAGCTGTGCATACACTACATTTTGCAGTGTACTTGTGCTTTTTGCCCACGGGTGTTCACACGGAGGTGGGCTGGTGCTGCTGCTGCCTCTGGTGGTGCTGCTGCTAGTGGTGATGGTGCTGGTGGTGGTGCTGGTAGTGCTGCTGCTGCTGGTGGTGGTACTACGGGTGCTGCTGCTGCTGCTATTGGTGGTGGTGGTGCTGCTGCTGTCTTCCATGCTGCTTCTTACGATGGTGATGGTGACTGGATAGTAGTGCCCCTGGTGCACTATTGTTTCAAAGTCCATCATAGAGGGGGCACTATTCAAGAGAGGGCACTATTTTTTCAATGCTGGTACATTTACGTCATCCAGCATAAAAACAAAGAAGTTCACTGTCAACTTTCAGAAATGGCAACAATACATGACTGAGATGTTGATCCTGAAACCACCGGTGCAATGGCATGGACAAGACCATTAGCAAAAACAACACCAAACTTGCACATGTGCTTGGTTTCAAGCCCGGGGGGGGGGGGGGGCACTATTCGAGAGAGGGCTTAATTTTTTCATTGCCTCTTGGAGACAGGGGCACTATTCGCTCTAATCGCGCGAGTGCGGTATATCACTTTCTGCGATGCGACGCGCGACATGCGGCTCTTGTTACAATGAAATGCCTGTCGTGTGCTGTTGCAAACAGTCTCAAGACCACTGTCGCAGGAGTTGACCAAAGTTCAGCTATTGCAAGATGTGGTGTACAGTGCACATCAATGGAGTACTGTATTCTATGCTAGGTGCACGTGATGTACAGTGTACATCAATGGAGTACTGTATTCTATGCTAGGTGCACGTGATGTACAGTGTACATCAATGGAGTACTGTATTCTATGCTAGGTGCACTTGATGTACAGTGTACATCAATGGAGTACTGTATTCTATGCTAGGTGCACGTGATGTACAGTGTACATCAATGGAGTACTGTATTCTATGCTAGGTGCACGTGATGTACAGTGTACATCAATGGAGTACTGTATTCTATGCTAGGTGCACTTGATGTACAGTGTACATCAATGGAGTACTGTATTCTATGCTAGGTGCACGTGATGTACAGTGTACATCAATGGAGTACTGTATTCTATGCTAGGTGCACGTGATGTACAGTGTACATCAATGGAGTACTGTATTCTATGCTAGGTGCACGTGATGTACAGTGTACATCAATGGAGTACTGTATTCTATGCTAGGTGCACTTGTAGTACACATGCATGTACTATGCATTGCATTGCGATGTTGCAGAAACCAAAATGATTGTGAATCGTGTACCGTGGTCGCAACTTGTCACTCGTCTTCACATCGTAGAGGGTGGTATTGTGGATCGCCATGCATTACGTATTCTTTGGAAAGTTTGAACATCAGCAGTAGCAGCAGCCGCCACCATTGTTTTAGACCATAGTGTATCGGCACCCATTCTGCCTGCACACGCATCTGGGTTCTTAGCCAAACGTATGTGATAGTTTACATGTAAACCCGGTTGTCCTTTGTGTGTGTGTGTGTGTGTGCGCGCGTTTGTGCGTGTGTACGTGCATGTGGGTGGCATGTTCGTGTATGTTAATGATTTTTTCCAGCACCAGAAGTCCTCTCAACAAGACTGTACAACCGATGCATCATTCTCGTCGTATAGTACAGAAGATAATAACCAGGAGAGTATAGCACCGAGCATGGCTACTCGTAGTCGGGGTAACAGCTCAGACAGCTGTAGCAGTATAATTGGCGTACATCGTGCAGGCCGTGTATTGCCATTCAGCCTCACGCCGGATAAACGTGAAGCTGAGCTGAGTACAGCCAAGGTTGTACTAGCTGCCCAGTCCTATGCAGCCACGGAGAATGTACAGAATACGCTGGCTATTTCTAGCCACTGTGGACGGTAAGGACTGTAAGATTACAGCTTCACTCACTGTTCACCCACTGTTCACTCACTATTCACCCACTGCTGACTCTCTGTTCACTCTCTGTTCACTGTGCATATTGCATAATATTATAACCACACTATTTCGGCAGATTTAGAGAAAAATATCACTTTAGGCCACCCAGAATACATGTGCATAATTATCATGTACAGAACATGTACTGTAAAACATGTAACTACAGACCACCGTGACTAGCGACCAACCTGGTACTACAGACCACCGAGACTAGCGACCAGCCTGGTACTACAGACCACCGTGACTAGCGACCAGCCTGGCACTACAGACCACCGTGACTAGCGACCAGCCTGGTACTAAAGACCACCGTGACTAGCGACCAGCCTGGTACTACAGACCACCGAGACTAGCGACCAGCCTGGTACTACAGACCACTTCGCCAGGCACGTACGGTCTCACACTCAAATATGGTCGTGAGGTGTAAACCTCTAACTAAGGACCATCTGCCACTAAAGACCGCTTTCTCTGGTCCCAAGGGGTCAAGGGGTGGTCCCAAGGGGTGGTCCCAAGGGGTGGTCCCAAGGGGTGGTCCCAAGGGGTGGTCCCAAGGGGTGGTCCCAAGGGGTGGTCCCAAGGGGTGGTCCCAAGGGGTGGTCGTTATTTATATGTTTTACTGTATGACTATTGTACTCTATGTGGATTGTGCATGTGGATTGTGCATGTGGATTGTGCATATCGGATATCCAAGTTTTTGTCCATCAAGCCAGTCGGTGAAATCTGACTGTAGACGATCCAGCGCTGTATTGTCCCGTCAGGACCAGATTTTGGCCTGGCTGGCAAATGACTCCGATGAGCAGCTCTCACCAAAACTTCTGTCGATGAGCGACGAGGTGTCGGGGCTGGTGCTATTTCAGAGCCGATTGTGCATCAGAGCTGGAAGATGAAATGAGGATCGTCACCAAGCGCTGCATCCTGTCATTTGCCTGCTTCCGAGGTCGATGTCTAGGCTGTTGAAAATTGATAGCGATCCGCGGATCAGCTTCAGTTGGCCACGGTCTGGAAGTTTTCGACACGAAAGTCCCTGCCTTTGGGAGAAAAATTTGTATCCACTAGTCACTGGGTCTGGAGTATTTTGTGTCTTATTGCCTAGCTGCTTAACATGCTAGCTGCCTACTGTATTCCCCCGATTATAAATTGCACCCCCATTTTCAGGTTTGAGCATTGTGCATTGTACTTCAAAGTAGGTTTTTGATATATTCGCTTCAGAAATAAGTCCTGCTCGATTGTAAGTCGCACCCATTTTTTGCCCTTAAATTTTAGAGTGAAAAGGTGCGACCTGTATTTGGGGGAAATACGGTATTGCTTGTGTGTGTGTGCGTGTGTGTGTGTGCATGCGTGTGCGTGCATGTGTGTGCGTGCGTGTGTGTGTGTGTGTGTTTGTTTCTGTGTTGGTTTTGTACTCAAACAGTTATTTGCTACGATGGGAAATGTCAGACAATTCGTCTTGTCCATCCTCACCAGCAATCATGCCGGACATACCTGCAGAGACCTCTGCTGCAGCTAATGTCGTGGCAGCAGCTGCTGCAGCACCTGCTAGTGTGTTCAGGTTCTCGGCTCACCAGAACAAGAAGTCAACGTTGATGTACTATTGTGAGGTGATACCCTCCGCTAATGTCAAGAAAGCAAGTGATTCACTCAATGCGTCGTCGTCCACTGCTACTTCCACCACCTCTGCCAGCATGGTCTCTACCTCTACCGCTGCCAGGGGAAAAACCATCAACAGCAGTGCTCCTCACACTGGCACTAGTCACATCTACTAGTGGTGGGCATCCATGAGCAGTTCAGGTATGCTGCTGCAGCAAGCTCCCTACTGACAGTGGTGAGTGATGACAACAAGTTCAGGAATCATGGATTATTGATCCAGCACACTCCAGCATCCGCACCAGACTGCTATAATTATATTACTGGTGATGGCACATTGTTCTGATGCTTACAGCTCGATCCGTGTAATATGGTGGACTGTTGGAGTTGACATGATATCATGCGAGCTGCACATTGTGAGTGCTATGCCGTGGTCTACATTGCAGTGGCTTGTGAGTGCTATGCCGTTGTCTACACCGCAGTGGCTTGTTGGTGCTATGCCGTGGTCTACATCGCAGTGGCTTGTGAGTGCTATGCCGTTGTCTACATCGCAGTGGCTTGTTGGTGCTATGCCGTGGTCTACATCGCAGTGGCTTGTGGGTGCTATGCTGTTGGCTACATTCCAGTGGCTTGTGAGTGCTATGCCGTGGTCTACATCGCAGTGGCTTGTGAGTGCTATGCCGTGGTCTACATCGCAGTGGCTTGTGAGTGCGATGCCGTGGTCTACATCACAGTGGCTTGTGGGTGCTATGTCGTGGTCTACATTGCAGTGGCTTGTTGGTGCTATGCCGTGGTCTACATTGCAGTGGCTTGTTGGTGCTATGCCGTGGTCTTCATCGCAGTGGCTTGTTGGTGCTATGCCGTGGTCTACATTGCAGTGGCTTGTTGGTGCTATGCCGTGGTCTACATCGCAGTGGCTTGTTGGTGCTATGCCGTGGTCTACATCGCAGCGGATTGTGAGTGCTATGCCGTGGTCTACATTGCAGTGGCTTGTTGGTGCTATGCCGTGGTCTACATCGCAGTGGCTTGTGAGTGCTATGCCGTGGTCTACATCGCAGTGGCTTGTGAGTGCTATGCCGTGGTCTACATCGCAGTGGCTTGTGAGTGCTATGCCGTGGTCTACATCGCAGTGGCTTGTGAGTGCTATGCTGTGGTCTACATCGCAGTGGCTTGTGGGTGCTATGCTGTTGTCTACATCGCAGTGGCTTGCGCCGGGTAACACACCACCGTAATACCATGGTAACACGCCACCGTAATACCATGGTAACACACCACCGTAATACCATGGCAACACACTACCATACCACCATTATTTTCTTACAGTTCTAGTAGAAGTTCTCAGAGTCAGGCACTGCTGGATCTGCTGCTGCATATGACCAGAGTGCCTCACAGGACTGCATCTAACAGCTGCACTATGGCAGTGCTGCCTTACATGTGTTTTGACAGTTTGAGTCAGTGTGTTGTAACATACCCTGCTGCTATGTATTACACCCTGTCTGTCTGTCTGTCTGTCTGCTGCTCTTCTAACATTGTCTTCTTTGTTGTTTTTCTATTGCTTCACATGTACATGTACACGCTCATTGCAACACCGCTGACTGTATACACGCTCATTGCAACACCACTGACTGTATATAATGTACAATACCATTTTTTGTTAATACTCTCACTCTGACGCATATTTTTTATGCACTACTGTCTTATCATGCTACTGCTGCTTCTGCTGCTGCCGCTGCTACTGCCGGAAGGCTCGTTATGCCAGTTCCTGCTCATGGACAGACATTGCCATCACCTAGTCATGATTATACAGTATACACTCACTTTATAGAGTTGCAAAGTCCTCTTATTTATTTGCCAATGTTGTTCAAGTCAACTGGTGTTATGGCCCACATGGCAGCAGCTCTCTGTGTTTCTGTCCACAGCATGGTGTGGTGTTGCCAATCTCACCACCGCAACACTAGTTTCTGTTGTCATTTGTTACTGGCTGTGTACTTGGAAAAGTAGAAGTACTCCGGTAGTGTTTTGGCCATTCACCGTCTTGCGTTCTTTTGTATTGCACCGTTTATGGTGTTATTTAAGCACTGGTTGCACCAATACCCTTTGGAGTCGTCACTCTTCACTCGCATTGTACACTTGCTCAACTTGGATACACATTTGCTTTAGGACTGCTGCTGCTGCTGTTTTTATGCTGAAACTTTTGTGGTTGCTGAATTGCTACAAAGCAGTAGCATGGTATTGTATTGATATTCTTCATCCGGCTGAATGTGTGCACATTACTGAATGTGTGCACATTACTGAATGTGCTGAATGTGTGCACATTACTGAATGTGCTGAATGTGTGCACATTACTGAATGTGTACACATTACTGAATGTGTGCACATTACTGAATGTGTGCACATTACTGAATGTGTGCACATTACTGAATGTGTGCACATTACTGCTTCTTGACCTATACAGTACTTATATTTGTATGACAAATCATTGAAATCAACTATTACCTCCTGTTGTGTTCTCTATTCTGTTTCTATCTTGATGTGACTGAATCGCCGGATACTACCAATACAAGACTACGACTCGTACTGCTTGCCTTTGCGTTTGTGTGTGTGTGTGTGTGTGTTGAATGGTGTAATCCCAGCACAAGTTGCTATGTCTAACATAGCTGTTCGCTATCATCGCTCCCGCGATGGGCATGTCTGAGGTCTGAGGTGTGTGTGTGTGTGTGTGTGTGTGTGTGTGTGTGTGTGTGTGTGTGTGTGTGTGTGTGCCCATGTGTGTGTGTGTGTGTGTGTGTCCCCAGAGTGTTATGGTGAATTTTTTGTGTTGTCAATTATCCTGGCCAGTATTAATGTTTGAAATAGTGGTTGCGACTTTGGCGATGATTTGTAAGAAAGGGTTTCGTACTGCTGTGCCCAGCACGGGCTTGCGACTAGTTGGTTTGGAGGTGACAGCGTTGCGAATGACCGAGGGTCCTCGACGTCTGTCTCACCGTCCAGGAGCGACACTGACTTGCGCTGCTATCTGGTGTTCAGGAGGTGTTTGTCGCGCTGGAAACAGAGCATCTCTGTAGGTTTGTATCCCTGGTGATGTCTGTGCCTGGAGAGCACTATAATAGGTGGTGCTCTTCAGGCACAATCTTCCTCAGCCTACTCAAGCTCAACTGATGAGGGGTGAATTCCCCTGTGTATTGAACAGGGAGTGGTGCTTTCTTGCAGGTTTGCCGAGTCGAAGGTTCGATGGACTTCTCGTGTGCTCTGGATGGCAGTCGTGAGTCAGTCAAGTGTCAAGTCGGCGGAATAGCGCGAGCTCCGGTGTGAGGAGCAAACCCTGTCTTTGGGCTGATTTCCACTACGGTGAGTGCCGTGACGTGAGTACCCATGGTGATTTGCTCATGTGAGGGGCAGTTTTGGCGCGAGTTCATTCTGTGGCTCGTGCCGTACCGCGCCATGGCCACTCCGGTGTCTCGGGGGGGGGGGGGGGGGGGATGGTATTCCGTGAGGTCGAATGAAGTGAGTAGTAGGTATTTTACTACTCCCTGATAGCAAGAGTCCGAACTCTTGCTGATAGGAAGTTTTTTTCTTTCTTTTGTATTTGTGGTACAAAGTTTTTTCTTGGCCTTCGGCTTTTCGATTGGTTGATTTTTGAGCTTTCTCCAGTCATCTCCCCCACTATTTTCCCTCGAGACCAAAGTCAGAAATTGAGTAAAAAAATGGTGATCCGGCCTGCTGACGGAATGCACGGAACAACGAAATCGGCCCTTGCTAATGTTTACTGTACCGTCTCAACAACAATGTTGGATTGCGTTGCGCAAACCATAGTTAACCAGCACGCCGCGGGCCGCGCCCCGCAGGGGAATATTCCCGCTAGATGACTTTAGGTGACCTTACGCACTCCGCCGTGCCGCCGCAGCCGACTTGCGCAAGCACGCACTCTTGTGGAGTTCCGCATTCGAGTCGCACTCGCGTACGACATCCCGCACGAGCCACCCTTCGCCTGGCGGATGCATCCGTAGACGGCTCATCTACTGCTGGCTGGTGTGATTTTTGCCAGTTGTCTGTTTTGCTGTGAGAGCTCGCCACGCAATTTTGTTTCCCACCGTCCCACACCTACCGGACGGAGGGGAGGCACGGGCTCGGCCGATGGGCACGAAATCCGCATGGTGCACATCCATCGGCTGCTGCAGACAATACAATTAATATACAGTTGCGCTCACTGAAATCCGACCCAAAGTGCAAAGCTGACGCCTGGACCAGTTCCGATTACATCATTGTATGCGTACATGTGTACGTCCAGCTGCATTCATTCCACTTCCACCGGGGCGTCAAGGGCCGTGGAAGCTGAGGGCGCCAGCTTTGCACGTTGGGTCGGATTTCAGTGAGCGCAACTGTACTTGTGGGTACTACCGAGTACTTAGTGGTCATGCAGTTGCTATAGCAATGTACTGGTACACCCAGCCTTTATGATTGTTGCATGACCCCATGGGTTGTCTTTCAAACGCTCTTTCATAGGCGATAGATGGCGTTATTTGTTCCTATCATACTATGTTTCAGATGGGCGGCCTTAGACAGCCCAGCCCGATCATTTCACGCGAACTATGTTATACGTCATCATGATCACAATAATCATGTCGTGCTCACGTTCAATATAAGCTTCCGACACCCCACTGGCTCATGTCTTCTGTGGTGTGAGGGTTAATGGATATTTTTACCGGTACTTGTATCCGCAATAAACAATGAGTCACAGCAACCTCGCAACCTCTTTAATCCCTATGGTGAAGTTTTCATTTCGATCACATCCTGTAAATGTTACTTGTCCCATGAACTTGTGTCGTTGTGATATCGCCTTTTTCTGTCCGTCCTCCCTGATCACCACTGCTCATTGTGGTCATGAAAGTGGCAAAATCTCTGCAACATCAGCCCACCTCGTACATGTACGAGTACACAATCATGTTCCCCACAATCTGAGAATTCCAGATTGCGCCGATTGCCTGATCTGCAGATTGTGTGCGCTATCTCTGGGGTGACACGAAACTATTTGTGGCATGAGACGGTGACCAGGCACGGTAAATTCGCGTGTGGTTCGTGCAATCTGTGGATTTCTCTCAAAAGCTGAAGAGCACAGCGAATTCATGTGGGGCGCAGTCTGTGGAAAAATGAGCACAGCGAGTCCGGCCGTACTCACTGTACTGTGTGGGCCATGGGGCGCAATCTGTGGCCCGCGATTTCCCTAAAAAAAAACACGAGGAGCGCAGCGAATCCATGTGGGATGCCAGTCTGTGGATTTATTTGAAAAAAACATGAAGAGCACAGCGAATCCGTGTGGGGCGCAATCGGTGGCCCGATTTCCCAGAGGAAAAAAACATGAGGAGCACAGCGAATCAACGTGGGATGCAATCATCTGTGGACGCAATCTGTGGATTTCTTTAAAAAAAAACATGAAGAGCACAGCGAATCCGTGTGGGGCGCAATCTGTGGCCCGATTTCCATGAAAAAAATGAAGAGCACAGCCAATCCATGTGGGGCGCAATCTGTGGAATTTCCTGAAAAAGCAAGAAGAGCACAGAGAATCCATGAAATTTCTAAGTCCGAGATTTTCGCCAACTCCCTATGGTGTAAACGGGAAAAGCAGGCCAGAAATTGCAATGAGTCGTCGTTGATGGGGAATGGGTAGTAACGAAAATTGGACGCGTCAAATGGTAGCGTGAGAACGTATGGAGACACGAACAGAGGAGAGAGGGCACGTGGATTGGCCGGTATTCGTCACGGATGTGGATGCTAGGGCAGAGCAAGAGCAAGGGAGATACAGAAAAAAGGGGGAAGTATGGTGGCAAAGCTATCAGTGGCGTCAAACTTGGCTGTCGTTGTCTCTCCGCTGCAGGGTAACAAGTACCGATACTAGTACTTGGCCTTCCGCCGACACACGTACAAATCGTGCGGTGAGTGTGGACTGGATTTATGCCGAACTATACCATTTTCGGCGCAGTATCGGGCAGTCTGCAAACTGAGTCACATGAAAATCGTGTACAATGTTTGCGTTTGGCCATGACTACTACAAAAAAAACTTAGTACACAGGAATCGTGCGGGAGAGAAGAAGAAGGATGGCGTGTGGAAACAGCGCTGGTAGTGACGTGAAAATAGTGTACTTGGCCGGCCCACGCACGAATGGTATGGTGAGAGCGGGCTGGATAAGACGTGCACGGTGAGTCGTTGGCAGTTGTTCATCACGGCGCTTTCAACAAGAGCTAGGTGCTAGGGACTCGAGCTGATAGTAGCGCGATAATGGTATGCTTGGTCGGCGCACGGACGAATTTTATGGCGATAGCGGACTGGATAAGCTGGGTACGGTGATTGGCAGGTGTTCATCAGGATCAACAAGCTCACAAGAAACACAAAATGTCGACTCGTTTTGCAATAGTGATGACAAAGTGGCGATGGGATGCCCTGCGACCAGTTCGATGAGCTTATTGTGAGATCGCACAATTCGCAAAATCTCTGCAACATCAGTCCACGTCGAATTGTATATCCGACTCACCCTGCCGCTGTCGTTGACCCGAAATTTTTTAAGTCCCAGATTTTCGCCAACTCCCTATTGTGTAAACGGGGAAAGCAGGCCAGAAATTGCAACGAAGCGTCGTTGATGGGGATTTCGAAGAGCAATGGGTAGTAACGAAAATTAGACGCGTCCTTACATACGCTGGGAACGTCGAAAAGCTTCTAGGATGTTTGAAAAAGCTTGGAGTAATTTTCGAAGGGTCGATAGATGATGCGGTGTGCAAGTGCAGTGCTACCTATGAGGGGTGAGTGTGGTGCGGCCAGGCTGCCAGCACGCACTCTACACATACGTAGATCTACCGTGACTGTAGTCTGTACATTGTATTTTGATGGCCTTGATCACTGTACAAACTGTGATCAGATCAGAAGGTATGCACACGGATTTCCTGTGTCCTGTGGTGACTCGGATGGCCGATGGGCAGGGTGGACTTCGATTTGGGCAATACGTTTTCGATGAGGTTTGGTTTGATCGGCATAAGGGTGGTGTTGGCGTGGGCAAAGGCGATTTCCGTGTGTGACGGCGAAGCAATTGGCTTCTCGACATTTCCGACCCAGGCACACGGAAACGTCGTCAATACGGAGTATGTAGGGCTAACGTGATTGGAGACGGGAGTAGGGGGAGGGATGGGTTTTCCATGAGGCTTGATTTGATCGTTTTGGTGGCGCCGGCGTGCGCGAGGCTGAACACGTGTTTTACGGCCAAGCAGTTCGGTTCTTGACGGACATTTTAAATTTGTTATCTGTGGCGCACGGAAACGTCGTCATGTGGGCACAGAGTGAGGTTGGCCACGATGTACCTGTCGGGCTGACGCGAATTGAAGGCCGGATGGGTGGCTACTAAATGGGTGTTAATTCGGTGTGTAGGGAGTCGCAGAGATGAGGGGACTGAGCGGACGTCCTCGTCGTACTGCTCACCCTATGCTGCATAGAGCGATACGGGATAGCGGACGTCCTCGTCGTACTGCTCACCCTATGCTGCATAGAGCGATACGGGATCACTCGCGACGATGTAATGATGTTGATCGCTAATCT